CCCGGATAATTGAACTTCCCTAAACGCACTAACTTGGATTTCAAACTAATAAAAACCTCATTTATAAATTAAGTTATTAAATTATTATTTGATATTTGCTTACTCTAGGCTTACATTCCTTAACATCATTTCCTAAGGAAACCGCATTTGTAACTAATTATCATGTTGTTGTGGTTGCCAGGGCAACTGTATAGCATTCTTTCAGTGCACTTGTTCCGTATCATCGCATTATGCCTGTTCCAACACGGTCACTGAACATAGAAATGTAAGGTAGTTGGGTTACGCTAATCGTGCGAGAATTCAAGACTATGTGTACGTCCCGGGTGTACTGCGTCTAGACTACATGTATATTAAGAAAAACAGACCAGATTGATCTTTGAATGTAATATCACGATATTTTCTAATAAGATTCTATAATCTGTGTTAGTTGGCCGTAAAAGTCATCAAATTTGAAATCGGTACATAAAACAATTATTGGATTATTGGTTAAGTCGACGGAATTCTTGAATGTGTGTTTATTATGTGTCGGCTTCGACACGTTTCAAAAGTTCATGGCATAAAAAACACAGGATCCGGCTGTGAAAAAAAATATTCCTTTTCAATGAAAAAATGTCCTTGGACTATGTCGGAAATGCTCAAAACTTATGTAGGTGGCTACATGTAGTGATATTGTTATTGATGTTTATTTGCATATTAAACATGGTTGGCAGGAATACTTCGAACGACTTGAAATGGACACTTGTAGGTAGAGAGCTAGCACAACCAGCACAACCACTAGTACCACATGAAATATATTGAAGAAAGCATGAAATACTAGTATATAAAAACCAACGTCTTTGAATTTTGCGGGAAAAATATACTAGTATAACAATTATTATTTTTAACAAGAAATTAAAAACACCGGTTTCACTATAACGAAGTCTGGCGGCATGACAAGTTGTCATTTGCTCTTTTCAATAAAGTGCTAAAGTTCGCATTACCTTGACTTTTGATTCACAGGAAAACATAGTATTTGATTTATGTAGATGGGATTATTATATCGACGACCCTTTAGTAGCGTGACCATCTGATCATGATTTTAGCAAGAGTCTGTGAGTGTGTACTACTCGTTGTTTTGATAGGATTATCCTACAGGCACTTTAAGCTATATTTGTGACTGTAGATGCGAATAAACATGTTTCTATTTATTCAAATTTACAGTCATTGAATCATTAATATTCAGTGCCCATGGGACGTCCTATAGCCCGCAGATGTTGTATCCTAATACACGAATACATATCCTGCTATATAATAGCATAGCGGACCTGGTACATATCCTAACACCACAACCATATACCCCTCTAGATCCTAACCGTATCGTAACTCCCAATTCAAGTGCCCGTGTCATGGCACATAATCTGCGTCACGTTGATATGATATGATATGATATGATATGATATGATATGATATGATATGATATGATATGATATGATGAGATATGAGCTATATATATAAGTATAAGCTATTCTATGATTTTAATTTTTAATTTTATCTAAGTAATGTTCAAATTCAGAATTTTCTTTATTACTCCTGCAAAAGTTATAAGCTTATAATTGTTCAACAATATGTTTTACCTCTTCATACTAGTATTGTACAAACATTTGAGCTTATCTTTAAAAATATCACATTAAAATTATTCTGATGTGGTTCTGAATTGGTCAGATCTGTATGTTGTGGTCTGCGTTATGGTGATCGTCGTCACGGTCGTGCAGTTCCAGAGTTACAATCTCGTGCCACAGAGATATAAGTGGTCCTAGAAGGTATTAGGGGGGTGTTACTTGAGCCATGGAAAGTACTAACGTTAGTAGTTAGTACCTTCCATTAGTACCTTCCATGCTTGAGCTATCGTTGCCGTATACTACATGTAGTAATAAAATATACAGTCTGCATCAGGTGGGGACACGTGCGATGAATTGTTTATAATGCGTGAGCCCGGTACAATTATATGTCACCGCTGGTTGTGGCCTTCAAATCCCCCCTTACAACCCTGTAAATCTGTCGTAATTGATGATTCATTTGGTGTAGTGTTGATAATTTCAGGTGACAGTTTCACAACATCCTCTATTACTTCAACTATGATAATTTATTGCTGTCGATACATGTACATGTATTAGCGTGGTATGGTGTTCAAAATATTTAATATAAGACAAATGTCAAATCTGATTTATAGTGAATAATTTTTATTGTGAGATGCATACATATAAATAAATCGTGTTTTTCCCATTTCTCTACTACACTGGCCTTGAAATCACGTCATATTGCACATATACACAAGTCGACATAATTCAGTTGTGTGTGTAAGTTTAATGGATGAAATTCCATCTTGCGTTCTGGTGTTTTCACGCTTAGGGGAAAAGACAATAAATATATAACAGTCCCCTATTATAACAAAAAGTGTGTGTGTTTGTATGTTTTAACCACTGTGCATCAATATCATTACCATGGAAACAAGTTACAAACGTCACACTCGTATAACGAACGGGATTGATATTATCACGAATAACAACGCATTGTAGCGAACGTCGGCAACATCAAATCACGGCTGTTAATAGCCTTTCTTTTTTGCTCTCCATTACAACGCAGTCTCTTTATTTGTGTTTGTGTTACACACTCAGTTTTGAGTCAATAACTACGGTAAACGATGTGAGCAAAATAGACTCCCTATCTCACTGGAATAAAAATTTAATTGGGCTAACCATAAATTCCAAGGCACCTGCTCACGGCATTCTATTGGGGTATGTGAGAACCGGCTGTGAGCATCATTGATCATTGTGATATTTGTCTGGGCTCTGATGTGATCCAAATCATGCACCTGATGTTTTCTTTATATACTAATGAAAAGTTCTATAAACTTTCGCCACCAAGATCCGAATCAAATCTGTGTACATTCTGTGGCGGAGTGGCCGAGTCTCTTCCGTGAATGTCCTCATACCAATTCGTTCTGGGACACATTTAAAATAATTGGGGTGAGCATGGTGATCAAATAGTGGTTCTGACGAACCAATACATTTTATTGGAGTAAGAAGATTTTTCGATATTACTAAATTCATTCATTTTATGCTGAAAGAAACTTTATTTACTAGCAAAAGCAAAAAACAAAAACTTTCTTGCCGTGCAGCTCTTAGAATTTATAATATAAAAAAAACGCAAATTGCACTCTCACATCTGGGGACAGTACCAAAGAAATTACTCTGAGAATGACAATATTGATAAACATGCATGGAAAAATCTTGTTATTGAGATATGTTTGTCTTAGCACAAACACTTAAAATGTACGTGTCGTAAAAGATCACATGACGGACGTCTAAATTGTAGTAGTACTTGTGCCCTGAAAGAACGTCGCCGCAAATAGTCTATGATGCATAGTTTCATTACGGCGACTATGCCCTGAGATTTACCCCACCCCCGTTATTACAGTTGTTCTACGAAAATGTTCGGACCAAAACATCCATTTAATATCATGGCTCAAATAACTTTCGTTTTTAAATTGTTTACGAATAGCTGAAATGTGGCATATACGTTATACTCTATAGACAGACTACTGTTTTACCGATAGGTGCATGATTACACTGGTCATACAGAGTCCCAACACGGACAGAGAAAATTATCACCCGGCAGGCAGCGCTCACTTAGCATGCTAGTTACCCGCGTTCAACAATGTAGCGTGGTACCCAAGCTACGAGTGACGTGGGCGGGGTGCAGCCAAACTGCGAGTCGATACTCCTTTTGCACAAAATGTATTCAAAGTTTTTTTTGGCATGGATTATGAACTGTGCGTGCCGCCAAAATTAATGTTTCTAAAATCCTCTTTAGTATACTAGTAGTTTATTGAATATCAACATTTTTCTTAATAAAACACAATGAAATTTAGAGGAGTTAATAAGATAAGCGCCAATAAAATTTAATCTTTACATTTGTTCGTTAATTTTTCAAACTAATGAAACTTATTTTACAAACAAATTTCTACCTATATTTAAAAATATATGGTCACCTGCTTGTCACGACATACCAGTGTGCTTCATCGCCAACTTGATAGTCTTAAAATCCTCCCCTCACACGACAAAACGTGACCTGGTTTATGATGTGACCTTGACCTATTTGACGGGTCACCATGAACTAGTTCAATGGTATTTTGTTAAAACAGTAAGGTGACGTTAACATATGGAACGAGCATTATTCACGGCACACCTGTCAAGAACAATTTTGAAAATGCATTTTGCGCTCTGCAAGCACAGGGCGAGAGCGTTCCGACAACGAATGAATGGATGAATGAATGGAGAACAGGGAATTAAACGCAAATTCGTTGTGCATAATAATAGTATAAACCACACAAAAATGCAAAGAATGTGATGTGTCTTCTAATTTGAATACGTTGAAAATCTGAATTTATGTGTCATGGCTACACGACGCTTTACTGTATAAACAAACACATCTTTAAGTGCCACAGCCAAGGTCATGACCTGAGATGTGAAGTTTTGCACGTAAGCACGCCTTCCATTCATTCATTTACATTATGGTAAATATAGGAAGAGTAAAAAAACTATTGTATTATATACAATGATGTAATTTAATGTGCCCCAAATATGCTGTTTTTACTTCCCTTTCCCCCAAATATAATTTATCGTGGTAATTATGACTCACTACGCCGAGGCTCGTCTTTGTTTATAAACCTGTAAGGAAAACGTCACTTCCTTGTTTTGTTTTTTCCTTTAAAAAGTAGCGTATAATTTGCAGTCCGCAAAGTCGAATTACGGTATTATTTATATAATGATTATACAATTTTAGGGGGTTAAATTAACAAGATCTGCAAACATATATAACGCAGTGACTTATTATGTGTGATTAAACATTTTTAAAATTTATGATTTTGCCAATATGTGCTGTTTAGTAACGAAAACGCATACAGTGATCAACATAATTATTGTCAGTGTCTTTGCTTTTTAGCAGAAGATGGCAGCGGGTGTACGTGACACACGTGCAACCCCCACTCACTGTGAACTCTGTGGGGCTATGGACAACCTGATGTTGTGCTCCAGGTGTAGGGATACGTGGTATTGTTGTCGTGAACATCAAAAGACGCACTGGAAGACCCATAAAAAAGAGTGTGGTCCCAAAAACCCATTCATTCTCGGAACGTCCGCGAGCAGCGTCGATAGTTACAGTGCTATCACAACAACACCGTACAACATCATCAACGACTGCCAAACAGCTGATCACCCTATAAATATAGTAAACAATCGGCAACTTCCTCGATCGTCAGAACTTGGTGGCTTTGTTCACGACGTGCAATACAGTTCCCAGGCTCCCGCTGAATTCATCGCAGCTGGCTCAAATGAAATAGGATTTCACCGCTCACCATCGTACAACCTTACACCCATCGATATTATTGACAGTCAGTCGAATTGTTATCGCAGTGACGCCGGTGACTGTGGCGGCCTGAACATGGGCCTCAGTCGCACACCTCCCGGCCCAGGTACTTACATGGACCAACATGGTAGAACGAAACAATTTCGCGAGCTTTCAGACTACGTTGCGAAGTGTATGAACCAACACGGCATATGTGTGGTGGACAATTTTCTGGGCGATATGCCGGGGGAGGAAATTCTAAAAGAAGTCCAGGACCTGCAATCGCGCGGTACTTTTCAAGATGGGCAGCTTGTTAGTTCTAAGGGCGTTCAATCCTCCCAAAACATTCGCGGTGATCAAATTACGTGGGTTGACGGAACCGAACCGGGTAGTAAAGCAATTTCATATTTGGTATCTAGTATGGACACTTTACTCATGTATTGCGGACAACGCCTAAAACCTGTTTCCATTCGTGGAAGAACCAAGGTAGGTTTAACAATTACATGATTAATATTTTATTTGAAATGAAGTGTTCAGTGGCCTAGTATTAGAAAATAGTTATTAGAATATGCAAAACAATTTCAAAACCTGAAGGCACATTTTGTTGATTATTAACGCATATTTTAATATGATACGAATATATATATATTTTTACAGGAAAATAATACAGCAGTATATACATAAATTTTTTATTTGTGTATAAGTTATGGGTTGTGTAGTCAAGTTGTCTTAGCTAACATTGAGTCAACCAGATCAAGTATAATTCATGGTTTTCGCTTCTTTATCTGCTGAGATTATTTGAAAAAAAAGTTAGCGTTGATGTTTTACCACCAGTGCATGTACTGTGGTTAAAACAAAATGTTAAACATTCTTGTACTTCTGTTGTGTGGTTTGAAACTAAATGAATAGCCTTTTTAAAAAAAAAAAATATCTACCAATCCCCCATGGGTATTAATTAAGTGTATATATTTCAGTAGAAATCAAGGAAGCCAATTCAAACGCTATTTTTGATCTTCCAATTCAATTGAAATGTTCAACATATGGTACTGTCCCTCAACGTTGCATCTGTTTGTTGTGGTCTTTGCTTATCGTTTAAACATGTATTTGGTAAGACAGAAAAAACACATCAATCATTATAACTGTGCCTGCTTTTCAGTGATCATGCCCCAGCCGCATGATATTTAATTATTGCGTACACAGTCATATATTTTTGATTTCTGAAAATGTGATGATAATGATATATACGCTGATTATTTTATCGTGGTACATATAGTAACAGAAACAGACTTGCAATTATGTCTAGACATTGTACCATCCTATGAAACACAAACATCATAGCTTCTCACGGGTATTGTGGGTACTAGTAGAGAAAGGATTAGTTTGCAGTCTGTCCCCTTGATGTGATATTCTGTAGTGTAATTCGAGATGCGTGGTGATTTAGACTGTGCCTGTCTTTGTGAAGATACTTAACACAATGTTTTCAGTATTTCCTATTGTACCACCGTAATATGCCAACCCGAGTGCCAACATCTCAAAATATTGTCAGTTTTTATTTACATCATTTACACACTTTGTGGCAGGTTGTGTGCGTGTAGCATCCTCCATATTTCATGTCTACGTGTAATTCTGCAGACATGCATAATGGCAAAATGAAAGCATTGTTTGATGACTGAGTCATTCTGCTTAATCAGTGAGCTCGACGACGGTTCTGAGTTTCACAGCTTTGTATTTTGTTTTTCCGAGGTTACATTCACTTTATAGTCCTGGGATTTTAGTGGGCTTTAAATGATTGATATTGTGTGTGAGTCAAAAGCTAAGGACACAAATTGAACTTTTTGTGTAATTGTTATTATCATTACACTTTATTTCAGGCTAATAAACTGTGCAAATATACAATATAATAATATGAAATTTTCACAAGACCACTGCAAAGTATGCACAAAAGCCAGTATGGTGATCGTGTCATTACATAGTATTTCTAGTGGCTTTATTTGATTTTTAAATGATAGCATAACTCTAAAGAAACACACCTATCATTATAACGGATCAGTCGCAAGGTATGGTACTTACTCCTCAGTGCGTTTGTTATGTACACATTTTCATTGAAATCATAATGCCGTTAATAAGTGTATTTGTTACACTTTTACAACTTATGCAATGCATTGCCAATTACTTGCCCAACATGAAAAACAAAACAATAAAACTTAAAATAAAAAAAAAAATTCAAAAATTTCCAAAAGAGATAGATCTACGTGGCTTTCTTTAAATGGAAGTTTGAAGCGCGGTGGTCGTCACGCAGCGTATGCTCGAATTTCATGTCAATAAACAATGTATTTTACACTTGTTGTGTACGTTGTTATGAGTCCCTTATCGAACAGGGCGCAGCGAGGCGACCACCGCCCTTTAAGTTGAGAAGCTCTTGTGAGAAGATATTATCTGCATATGTCTATAGTATGGATTTGGATCAATTAAATTGTGAAATAATGTTCTCTGAAGTGATCGTAAAACACAGATCCAAGTAGGATTGGCCTCTCTTGTTACTTTCATTCGTACATGTGGACCCTGAATGAACTTACCCTGGATGCAGCTTATTGTATTGTTGTGGCTGCCCATTTCCAATGTTATTTTTTTTTTTTAATTTTATTAAATATAGCAACTAAAGTCGCCCAAATATTGTGAGAAAAACAAGTAAAACAGATTAGTGTGTTTTTACTTGGTTGGTCGATTTTTAACACTATTTTAATCACCAAACAGCAGGTCTGTTGAATTTTCACTGCAATACTGTTTGTTTCAGCTAAACAAAAATAGGTTCATTTGCATATTTCATTCTCACTCAGTACAGTCAACTACTAAATTAGTACAGTTTGGTTGCATTATTTGTGTGTGGTGGGGCAGAAAATGGTGAACTAGGATAAAAAGCAGTAATAGAAAACGATTGTGTCTGAATCTTATTTGTATAGAGGTTATCTGGAGGTTACAAAGGTCTCTGGTGTAACAAGAAATTTACTGCAGTACTGAAAAAAAATAGTTGTACATCTACATTTCCCCTCGGTAAAAAACTTCCTAACATTTTTTTAAAACTAAAATTGTGTTTATTTGGAGGAGTGAGAGGTGGAGTTTCAGCTTGGTTTGTCTGGATATTAAGTCACTGTGAGCTACGTGCACATTTACAGCATGCCTTTGTTGATAGCTGTTCCTTCCACTAGCACCCATCCCACTGGAATTCTGTCTGTAAATGAAAGGTATAGTCATAAGATTTCAAAGTTGCTATAGTAATTGAGCACCTTTCAGTAGACTTAAAATATGATCTGCAGCCATAAACAAAACATTGCAGTCTTCTACTGTTATGGATCCTGATAAAATCGCAACATTTTCAGTGACTGCAAGTAAACTTTGAATGGATGTACGTGCCGTATGTGTGTATGCCACCATCTGATTAGTGCATAGGTCAATATAGGACATTGAGTGATTAATTGAAACTCCTGTAAAACTGCTTCTCTCATCTGAACAGCTTTTCTACTGACCCTGAAAGCAAGATGACTAATTTTTTAACAATGACTAAATTTCTATTTTTAAGATTAACACTGAAATTGCTTTTGAATGTTAAAAAAATGGTATAAATACGGTTTAGTTACTTTATTTGATTTTTTGAAGGCCTGTTGTCATTTCTGTCACTTACAAGTGTGGTTGGAGGTGGGGCTCATTTTTTGTGATAATAATTGGTATTAATTAAAACATAATTTAGTCAGTAATATTGAACAGAACAGCTGGAATTCACAGACTCACAGTTAAATGTTATATACCCGGTATTCAATCTAAGTTCAAATGATGGTTTTGGTTTGAAATAGAATGATCCTTAGTTCATTGCATATATCCTGACAACAAATGACTGGTGAATATGTCTCGCAGTAATGTCGTATATTATATATTTCTGTTTAATGTCATTATGGTCAGTTAGTTACAGATATGGCATTTTCTAATTTGAAAACTATTTTGTTATTTCCAAAAATATGCTCAGTATGATACTTTGTTCATAGAGAATTCCACATGAATACTTAAATATTAAATTCTGCATAAATACTTACAATATCAAATTCTCAAAATCAATTTGAAAGATTAAAAAAAGGTGGGGGGGGGAGATTAAATTGAAAACAAAAAAAATTATGAGGTTATTGTATTGCAAAGTATGCACACAGAGGAGTACAGCAGGAGTATTGGCTGAAGCACAGTGAGAGTCAATGTCACTATGTAATATCTGAGTGTTCTCTTTATAACCTTATTATTATGAGTCTTCCCAATATGAAGCCTAAAGCTGAGCAAAATGGTGAAAATTATTAAAACTCTGTTTTCAAAAGCGCTCACAATCTTAGAAATACCGCATAATTGTTTCATATTATGGTAGAGGGCAGATACCTCGTGCCATACACAGTATGTATTATGGCGATACGGTGACAGATGTATAATTATAAGAAGTGTTATCGTGCAATATAGCTGGTTAAGTAAAATGAGTCTTGATTACTTTGATCTACCTATCATTCTTGCTTGAGGCTAAAATATTTCATAAAATAAAATTAAAATAATTTAGCTGTTTTTTGGGTTCTTTCTCAAAACAGCTCAGTAGATGCAAATGATGATGGTTTTGCTTATAACCTATATGCTCTGAATACAATGAAAGGAACAAAGGCTAAAAATGCTTATAAATATATTTATAAAAATTTGTAAATGACAATCGTCAGCTTTCGTTCAAATAGTTTAGTTTAATAGTGATTGGCGCAAGAGCTGAACTTTGTCTATACCCATCATGCTTGCACAAGTCATCTCATCACATAGCAACTACTACGTCTGCCCACATACTCAAAATGGGTTTACTAATTAGATAATGTTTAATTATCTCATTAATATTAACGTTCATGTCACATGGATTAGTCAGTTTGAATTCTAACATCCATTTTGATTTATAAAAATGTATATTTATAAAATGTTTATAAGGAGCACAGCTTTATGCCCTTCACTGTATCATATCAAGTCAGTGAAAAGTTTAATTCATTTACAATAGTCATAAAAGTTCTTCAAGTGATCAGGCCTTTCCCAGAATGTGCATGGTATATAGACTATAGAGTTCTTTTTTTTTATGTTGGATTCTTGATGTCTTTTGATTCAGTTTGCAAAGAATTGAATTAGTCTGCCTGAAACCTGAAAACTTTCTAATCTTTCAGAAGCTGTAGTCATGCAGCAGCTAGTCACATCTTCCCATAATGCATTGTGCTGCATGGGAGCATTCAGTAAAACAGCATTGCATACTGGGAAGTAATTGTTGAGCATTCACATCAAAGTGCTTCATTCTTAGTTGTTATCCTGATATGTTATCCTCTGAATGACGTTATTTTTTTTCTATTTTCAGGCTATGGTAGCTTGCTATCCCGGCAGCGGTAAGGGATACGTAAGGCATGTAGATAATCCAAATGAAGACGGCAGGTGTATAACATGTATTTATTATTTAAACAAAGGATGGGATAGTCGGGTAAGATAATGATATCTATTACAACAAAGCTTCACGCATACACAATTGCGATTGACATGGTTGTACCATCCCCATGTACATATAGGTGTGGTTATTGTTAGAAACCTATGAACTGCTCTATTCTGTTGCTGAGATGATATGTAAATGCTTATCAGTATCGTACTATTGTGTTCCTGGGAGTTTTGTGTTTTTCAAATAAGGTACATACATTTGTTATTAATTATGTATGCGCATATGCAAATGTCGTATTGATTTAGCCAATCATTTACAGGTAGAGAATCCTGATGAGAAAGTGTAGATAAAAAAATAAGTATTCTGTGAATCTAATACAAAAAAAACACAAAAATGGATTGTTCTTGTCCAAAAATGGTGTTTCCGCTCTAATTTGCGGGTCACGTAATCTGTGGTCATTTATAACTTCAATGGTTGATTGACCTTTGTTTGTATTGCGCTATTTTAGGAGACTGGCGGTCTGCTACGAATATATCCTGAAGGCAGGAGTGAAGTTGCCAATATAGAGCCTATCTTTGATAGATTGTTGTTTTTCTGGTCTGATAGGCGCAATCCGCATGAGGTATTACCAGCTTATGCTATCAGGTGAGATGAATCAGCATTTTTGTTATGTGATGTTTCACTTTACAATTTTGATGTGTTCAAACATGTTGATTATTCACTGCATTGTAAATATATGAAATATGTTTTAT